AGGGGTTAATTTTAGCTCGCCCTGAGTATAGAATTATCCCACTGGACACTCTTTTGTTGGTAGCCAAAGGCTTAGAATCTGTTTTGCAACCCACACAGCGAAGAACCAGTCCTCTGATGTACACTACCTCCACCCCAATTACAGGTTCTAACCAAGCCCCTCAGTTACTCCCCCAACAGTACACTCAGTCACCCCAGACTCTGCCCACACCAATTCCCTTCTCCCGGGATCGGACTATCACGACAATCCGGACCTGTTTTAATTGTAATCAGCCAGGCCACTTTAGAAGAGATTGCCCACATCCTAGAGTGTTCCGCCAACAGGCTCCCCGGTACCCAAGTCCCCAAGTCACCGGCTATAACTTCCCCTCCACTGGTTACCTCCCTGCCCTGCCCCATCCACAGTTGCCACAGCTTCCTCCTCCTCCGCCCCCTCCTCCTCCTGAATACACCCAAGCCCGGCTCCCTACATCAGAAGCTCGTGCATACGCTTCGCCCTCTGCTGAAGGGTATGACAACGATGATTTCCAAGACAGCCAGCCACAGCCCCGCCACGCCATCCGACCATCCCGTCCTCCCATGCATTCTACTAACCCTCCCTCCACTTCCCGCCGGTACCAGGGACCAGACCAGGCCCATCTAGATTTGTTACAATAGGTAACTGGCAAGCCTGTGTCAGCAACCCCTGCCATGGCAGTGTCTGCGGGGGATGGGGGAGGGCCTTTAGCTACTGTAGTTCTCCCCGTGGAGGGTCACCCAACCACCTTTCTAGTTGACACAGGTGCAGCCCGTAGTGTCCTTAGGGAACAAGACCTGCCAGACCCTTCCTTCTTATCTGACACCGATGTTTCCTGTGTTGGGGTGGATGGTACACCACGCAGTAACCCCCTTACTAAGCTCCTACACGTAGGATCACACATCCTCTCCCGGTTTGTTGTTTCCTCTACTTGTCCCATTAACCTCCTAGGTGCCGATGTTCTCTCTCGGCTCCAGGCTTCTATTACCTTTACTGCAGATGGTCAAGTTGAGTTGACAACCCCCTTATCACAAAAGGATACCTCTGTCCTCTGCTCACTCCCCATCTTGTTGAACCTGACTGACAATACAGGGAATGCACGGGTCTCACACACCCCCAGTGCTCTGGATCGTATTCCACAAGAACTTTGGTCCACCGGCCCGGATGATATTGGGCGCTTACATGTACCCCCAGTCTTGGTCCAGCTCCTGCCTGGAGCACTACCTCCTCGCAGACCGCAGTATCCTCTGAAGCCAGCACAAGCTGAAGCTATTACCAAACAAGTTGAAAGCCTCCTTGCCAAAGGTGCCCTCATCAAGTGCACATCTCCATGTAACACACCACTTTTCCCTGTTAAAAAGCGAACTGTCAAGGGTCAACCTGACCAGTACCGCATGGTGCAGGACCTCCGTGCTGTTAATGAAGTAACCATAAAAGACACTGCTATTGTTCCTAACCCTCACACCCTCTTGTCCCAAGTCCCACCAACTTCCACAATATTCACTGTAGTGGATCTAGCTAATGCCTTTTTCAGTGTCCCCCTGGACCCTTCCTGCCGCTTTCTCTTCGCCTTCACTCATGAAGGACAACAATATACCTGGACTGTTATGCCCCAGGGGGCTCAGAATTCCCCCACACAGTTTGCTCATGCCATGTCCCTGGTTCTGGATCCCTGGCAGAAATCTCATTTGGATGTTGTCCTGCTTCAATATGTTGATGATCTCCTTCTCTGTGCTCCTGATTTGCCCATTGCAGAGCGTGACTCAGAAGATCTCCTATGTTTCCTCGCTGCAGCTGGTTGCAAAGCTTCAAAATCAAAGCTACAATGGTGCCGGCCCTCTGTGGTCTTCTTGGGACATTGCCTTTCCCATGGCACCAAACATCTAACTTCTCAACGTGTGCAAGCTATTCTGCAACTCCCATTACCTGCGACACATCAGTCTCTTCATGCCTTTTTGGGTCTTATCACATACTGCAGGTCCTGGATACCCGAAGCATCAAAGCTCATGCAGCCACTCTATGATGCCCTCAGGAGTGAGCCCTTTCACCTCACTGAAGAAACTATCTCCTGTTTCCACAATCTGAAAAGAGCTATTGCTTCTGCACCTGCTTTGGGCCTACCCAACTACCAACTTCCTTTCAATTTGTTTGTCTCTGAAAAGTCAGGACATGCTTCCGGAGTCCTTACCCAGAAACATGGGTCAAGGCAACGACCTATTGGCTATTTTTCCTGCATGCTTGACCCTGTTGCGAGGGGTAGCCCCTCTTGCCTCAGAGTGGTGTTTGCCGCCAGCGCCCTCCTAGACAAGACAAATGATTTTGTTCTTGGCCATCACCTCACAGTGTTGGCTCCTCATGACATTACTGCAATCCTGCAACAAGTTCAACCTAAGCACCTTTCCTCCCAACGTCACCTCCGTCTACAAACCTCCCTACTTCTACCTGACAATGTGAAACTCCAGAGATGTCTTTCCCTGAACCCAGCCACTCTTCTGCCACTTCCCAAGGGGGGAATTGTGCATCACTGGTATAGCCTGGATATCAACCCAGAGGTTCGAGCAGATTTGCAGCTGACTGCACTTACACCTCCACATGATGAACAATCAGTGGCCCTACTTCACTGTACCTTGTGGTTTAAGGACGTACCAGACCCTGATATAAACTATGAGGAAGAACTATTCCAGCTCAAAGAAATTCAAATTACCCTGACTGACTTATTCTGGGACCCCACAGGTACCATGCTCATCTTAGTACTTCTTCCAGAGAATGTAACACATCTCTATCATCATTGGGAAACAGCTGTCCCACACATATCTCTCACCAGATCCCCCGACATCTCATGGAAAGACCTAGGCCCGATGGCCAAAACCTGGAGCCAAATGACCCAAGAACAACTGACTTCTACGGGGATCAACAAAAAGACTATTAATTACTGTACAGCAGGGTACCCAAGGTACCACACAGAAGCCTGTGAAGACCCACTCACCACAGACTGTGACCTAGATATTCCTCATGATTGTTTTGAATAAATGAAAATGGAAACTACACACCTACCAACTGTCTATGAAGCTGCATTACTCAACCCGGACCAAACACTATTTGTGGATGGGTCAAGATTCACTGATGAACAGGGACAATATCACACTGGGTATGCAGTCACCACAGGATGTCAAGTGTTACAGGCAGCTGCCCTGCAACCAACTAAGTCTGCACAAGAAGCCGAGCTAACAGCTCTAACTGTGGCCTGCAAATTGTCTGAAGGTTTACGTGTCAATATTTACACGGATTCAAGATATGCCCTGGGAGAAGCACACGATTTTGGCTTAATTTGGAAGACCAGAGGATTTCTTACAGCTACCGGCACCCCAGTAAAACATGGGGCAGCCATTGCAGAACTGATGGATGCATTAGAACTGCCAGCAGAGGTGGCAGTACTGAAAGTAAAAGCCCACGGAAGACTAGACACAGAAGAAGCACGTGGTAACCATTTGGCTGATCAGGCAGCTAAGGAAGCCGCACGGCAAGGATGGGAAGTGGACAGAAGAGTGGCCACAGATACACTACCCATCTACACTATGCAAACATTGCCTACAGATCTTAGGCTTCTGAAGGAACAACAAGCTGCTGCTACTCCCCAGGAGAAACAAAGTTGGAAGAATAAAGGAGCTGTACTCCGTGATGATGTTTACACCATCAATCTCAAGTTCTGCTTACCCAGAAGTATGTACTCAGCGGTGGTCCAATGGGCCCATGGGCCAGCCCACCTGTCAAAACTCCTGATGAACTCACTGATTGACAAGTATTTTGAAGCACCAGGCATTACTACCTTAACACAGAATTACTGTAAATCTTGTACTATATGTGCTAAATGCAATCCTGGAAAGATTATAAAGACTGCACCTAATCATCTAGCTAAACCACAATACCCCTTCCAGAGGATCCAGATTGATCACATTCAGATGCCAAAGAGTGGACGTTATGAATATGCATTGGTCATAGTGGACATGTTTTCAGGATGGCCAGATGCCTTCCCAGTGGCTAATCTCACCGCGAGGACTACAGCCAAGTATCTTTTGACAGAAATTGTTTGCCGCTATGGAGTTCCAGAAGTAATTGAAAGTGACCAAGGGACCTCCTTCACTGCCTCGCTAACACGGGAAGTCTGGTCAGCACTGGGGGTGACCCTTGCATTCCACACACCATACCACCCACAGAGTAGCGGTAAGGTAGAACGCATGAATGGCACTTTGAAAGCCAGAATGCTTAAGATGTCACAAGAAACTAACATGCCCTGGCCCGAGAGTCTCCCACTAGCGTTGTTTAGTGTGAGGTACACTCCCAGAGGAAAGTATAGCTTGTCACCTTATGAGATTTTGTTTGGTACAGCACCCAGGTTAGGTTGCTACTTTCCCCAACAGCTTCAGATTCAGTCAGATGCTATGGTAGACTATGTGACTGCCCTCTCACATGCCTTGACCAAGATACATGCCCAAGTGTTTTCTTCTATTCCAGATCCTGAGTCGAATACAGGTACACACAAGCTGCTTCCGGGTGACTGGGTTATGGTCAAGAAGTTTCTCAGAAAACATACCCTAGAGCCAAGATTTGATGGTCCTTACCAAGTGCTTCTGATTACCGCAACGTCAGTTAAACTAGCTGGAAAGAGTTCTTGGATACACGCTTCACATTGCAAGAAAGTGCCTGCTCCAGAAGAAACTGATCCTGTTGAAATATGAATTTATTATGTGTCTTGTGTTTTCTTATGCTGCTACACTTTGCCTGGGCCCAACAAGTGGCCATAACCAAAGATGATCATGTTTACACTTTCTGGTACAATTCATCTAATACTGATGTAGCTACATACACCTTTGACTACTGTGACATAGTTACTTGTACATTTCCACAAACACAATATGCAGCCATATACAAGGACATACCTAACAAAAAGGATCCAGATATGCTTAACTCCTCAGACTGGGTAGGAACTACACACATGGTCATTAACCCATTGAAACCACACATTAAGACCCTACATGACATGGTAGCTATAGCTAACCCCACCTTTGAGGATACCATGGCAGTAGAAACTGGGTTTTCAGACACTAATTTGTGGCTAGAGTGGATGAGGTATAATGCGAACTCGCATAATAAGACTAACTGTTATGGATGTGGAGGAGCCAGACCCCATCTGGGCACAGTACCTCTGAGCTTACCTCCCGAAGTAGAATCATGTGTACTGAGTTTGTATGCACAATTCACCACTAACTCCTCAACATGTGAATCTTGGAAGAAAGTTTACCCAATCACCCATGGACATGTGAAACCCCCTGATGGAGTCACCATCTACCCAGGTAATTACACATGCTATTCAATACCTAGGAACACTGGGTTGTATCTGGGCAAATTCCCATCAGGATACTGCTCAATTTACCATAATCCACCTGCATCACTGCTAATGAACCACACAAAGACTATCGGGGATATCTATTGGTTATGTGGTGACAAACAATTGAGGTCCCAACTAGCTGGGCAATGGTGGGGGGAGTGTGCCCTAGCCAAAGTTATAATGCCTATCCACATTATTCCAGATGGTAATCATAACACATTAAACCTTACACATATACATTCTAGAACCAGACGTGAGGCCCCCATCCGAGGGAGCTTCGACCCCCATGTGTATATTGATGCCATAGGTGTGCCAATGGGGGTGCCTAGCGAGTTCAAAGCAAGGGATGAAGTGGCAGCAGGATTTGAATCCTTAATTCCAATGATAACTGCTAATAAGAATGTCATTTGGATCAATTACATCTATTATAATCAGCAGCGCTTTGTTAACTACACAAGGGATGCCCTACAGGGCCTAGCAGAACAGTTACAAGCCACTACTCAAATGACATTTCAGAACAGAATGGCCCTAGATATGATTTTAGCTGAGAAAGGGGGAGTATGTAAAATCCTCCCTGAGACCATGACATGCTGCACATACATTCCAGACAACACTGGGCCCAATGGTAAGGTGACTATGGCCATAGAGAAGCTAGATAGTCTTGCAGACGAGCTAAAGAAAAATTCAGGAGTCACTGACACTTGGGACAGATGGTTTGGATGGATGAATGGTTGGCAAAGGACCCCCTTCCAGGTGGGAACAGCTGTTCTCATAATTGTCATCATCTTCTTATTTTTAACCTGTTGCATACTCCCTTGCATACAGAAGTACTTACAGAAAGCGGTAGATAAGACCGTAGATGACGTGACCCCTACTTTCCTACATCAAGATATCACAGACCTTGAAGATGACACTCCACATACACCCCTACAATCACATCAGTTCAAACAGACGACTGCTTTCCTGTAGGGACAGTGTAGGGAAAGCGTCTGTCTTAACAGGTGAGTCTCACGTGTGGAGATGTGGTGGACTAGCCACTGCGGGTTACCCGCGGAGTGAAGTGTTCGATGCTTGTTAAGACAGATAGGTTGCAGGCAACTAGGGACATATTAGGGACAGTAGCAGTTGTTATGGTAAATAGCCATTTTAGGGGGGACTGTTGTGGAAATAAGGTCTGCACATATTTCCTAGTTAGTGAAAATGTCTATTTACTCATTTCACGATATATCACATATAAAGCTGAGCACACATGTTTTAATCAAAATGGCTGCTAGAAGCTTCTAAACCCTCCTCCCCCCCCCCTTCCCTTCTTAACACCAACTAATTACCTCGTGCAGCAAGATGGCGCCGGGAAACCGTGGGAGACCCTCATGGTCCCGGGTGACATCACTCCAGTAGGCAGAGCATTAGAGCAACCACTTAACACCTAACCAATAATTGATGTATTATTCTATGTTATCTCTGACAATGCTTATGATGTAATTTTGCTTTAAAAAGGACCTGCCGTCCCCTCTGAATAAACTTTCCTCAAGTTATTCAACAACCTGGAACCTGTGTCTGGTGTGAATTACTTCAGGGAGCGTGCACGCATTGTTTCATTGATTTGGCCAGGGGCAGATACACAAAGAAATAATCAATGTATTGATTGATTTTTCCATTTCAATCATATGTCCCCCCTCCCTTCTTACCTTTACTGGGTCCTCTCTCTCCTCCCTCTCCCTCCCCTGCCGGCTGTCAGCACAGTGCCTGCGGACCGGGGAGGGAGATCTCTGATCTCCCCTCCGGTCCGCAGGCACATTGCAGGGCTAGCGCCTGCATGTGCTGCTGGCAGGGGAGGGAGACCGGCGGATTTCTCGGGGGGGGGGCAATTGCCCCGTTGCCCCCCCCCTGGATCCGCCACTGATGGGAATAAGCATATGCTGTGGGGGTCTAAAAAAACACAGTTACGGCACTTATCTTCCCACCAAGGTTTATGCCACTGGCAGGTGGGGCAAGTCCAATAAGAGTATCCAGTGACTGGGTTTACTGTGGACACCTGTGGGGTTTTTGTATTATCATCTGTAATGTGTGCCTTCTCGGTGTAAGGAGGGGGCTGAGTTCCCTTAGGGGAAGCATTATGCAACGACCCATAACATTGATAATAGGGTATCCCCCTTCTAGTAGTTTCTCTACAGCCACAGTATGCCAATTTGACTGCAGTATCATGCTATGTTTGCGCTTTCTCTGTAAACTTTTTATCTTCAAACCATCCTTTATACTTTGCCATGAATTCTTTCCATACTTGTGGATCTAAGCTCATTTCTGGAGTCATTCCTGCTTTCATTAGCATAGATGTAATGCCTGAGACAGAATCCTTGCCTTGGTGATTTTTTTTTACGATGTCTATAGCCGTCATATCCTCCCCAGGGAGACTATAAGAGTTCTCCATTATTACACCAGGGTTAGCTAGACCCTCAAGTTGGGGCAGCAGTCTGTTCCAGTGTAATTCTTGTATAAACAACAAAAACATTAACAAGTGCAATAACAGTGTGTAAATTCACAACACACCCCTGCAGAGGAATTTTAACAAAGACACAGCCGTCCACTCACACTAAACGCAGATCAAGAGATCTGCCATGGAGGATACGTATTTTAATCATACAAAAAATCTCCAGGCCAACAATTATCCAACAATTATTACAACCTGACAGGCACAGCAATCTGCAATTCCAGTTCACAATTCATGGCAATTGAAGCAATTACAATTCATGGTACTTTAAGAAATCACCATCTGGTTATATCATTTAAAACAGGTTCTTGGGAGTTAGCTAATTTTAAACAGACACTCACCCAGATCTTAGGGAGTGCAGGATTTTAGGGAGTGCAGGTGGTGCGAGCTAAGAGTTCAAGTAGTGCTAGCAGGTTATGAAAGATAATTGATGGTATAGCGTGTATCCTGTTGCAAAACATCTATGTCATATATGAGTGAAATGAAAAGGTTCTAAGTATTCACTGCTAAGAAAAAACTCTTTGAGGCCCCATAGGCTCCCAATGATTGACAATGAGACTGTTAATAGTGGTTATGTAACATAGTATGCTAGTGAATGAAATCTACAGGTAATGCTACTTCTAATCCTTATACTGAATTTAGTGTAAACATGGTTCTTAGTTCCACAAGAAATTTATATTAGACAATTTTAGCTTTTTATAAGGAATACATTCTGAGAAGGGGTAAAAGACCTCTTCTTTATATATAGACATTATTTTTCCAGTTCCAAGAAACAGGGCTTCAGAGTGTCAACATTTTATGGACCACTGAACTAGGGATCTCAAGATCTTTTTGTTATGGCACAAGATGAGCTAAATCCGTCTTGAGATCTGAGCGGGGACCCACCAAGGGCCGGCTATTTGAGCTGTTGTCCGTTCTCAGTACTCTATTGAACCCTATTTTTGCTCTCCCTAGGTTTAAAAGGTAATACAGATGTGGACGCCTTGCACGCGGTGCCTAGTAGGAAGTCATCAATACCTCACTGACGAAGCCTAAAAAAGTTGAAACGATTGTCTGGGGTTGCTGTATCTCTCGTGCAGAGAAAGCTGGCCTGCATTTTGGATCTGTTTCACTCTTTTGGGTGGGATCAGTCTGATATGCAAATGGCCTGGTTCTTTTTGTAATGGCACAAGATAAGCTAAAACCAGCTTGAGATCTGGGCGGGTACCCACTGAAGGGCAGACTATTTGAGCTGTTGTCCATTTTCTGTACACGCACCTTATTTTCTACACAAGTTCCTAAAGAAATACTTTGCAATCTGAATAACGGACAAAAAATAAAAACAGGGTATGGATTGTCAGTTAGTATAATTCTATGTAAAACAATATTCATCAAACTGGCATATGTTAGCAGGTCCTATGTTTAGCCCACCGCTTCCTCCAAAACGAGCAGCCAAACACTGTCAAGCATATAATCTAAATAACCAAATTGCCCCTCATAAAGTCAGAATGATGCCACTTCCCAGGATGCCAGTGCACATTTCAATACAAAAACATCAATGGGAAATTTGTGTAACCAAAACCTGTGCAGGCCCAGTTATGTTAAGATTTTTGACTCCAAGTCCTATCATCATTTCCAGACATTTTCTAGAATATAATAATGCGGAGATTGGTCGTCTGACTGTGATAGTTACTAATAATACCTAATACAGTTAGATTAAAAAGAAGGTTCAAGATCTTTATGGGGACACACAAAGAAAAGCTACATAGTCACATACATTTGACGATGACATATTGTATTTCAATGCAAAATATTTGTAAAGAATTTAGTAATAAAATATACCTCTATTGTAAGTGGTATTACAAATGTTAATAATTTTACGAAAAGTAAATGTTATTTTCTCAGTATTCTGAGATTATTTGTTAGGTTATTTATAAAGTTCAGGTATTTAGGATAAAATGTAATATAGGTTCATAAATTGTTACCGATGAATAAATTCAATATGGCCTGTCCCCATCTGACTTTCTCTGACTGGATCATCTTTTTCAGAACATTGATTAAGAACTAAGTATACTTTTCAGTCTAATTAATCATGTGTGTGAAATATTTTCAGTATTCTGTTGACTCGGCTGTTGAGCCTCCAGGAAAATACCTCTCCAAATTCAACAGAGAAATTCAACAGAGAACGTGCGTTGTGTCAACATTAACTAAATCCATGCCATAAGGTACAAACCATAACATGAGGAAAATAAATTTAATTTGGAGGCTAAAATTTTGTTTAGAATTACCTACTTGGTAAATCAAAGATTATAATGCGTAATCTATGATAAACTAACTGCTGAATTTATAAAGTGATATCAGAATATCCCAAACAAATCTCAGTCTGAGCTATTTTTGCTACAATTTTAGTCTAAATTTGTTGTTATTTCTTTCTTTTTATTATATTATACAAACTATTTTCATTTGCTTACGATATTATTTTTAACTGGTAAAAAATACGATTCAGTTATATACACTCTGTTGTTGTTTAAAATATAACAAGTACATAACACAAAAATGTATGCATTTAAAACATTTCAAGACAGCATATTTAATGTCTTCTTTCAGCAGTGTTAAAATGGTGTTTAAAATAACACATAGCTATTAGGGCTTTGTTCATAGCTGCACTATTTATATGCCGTCTCCAGGGTTAGTTGCAACTCCAACCATGCTTAGTCAGATGAGTCCACAGCATCTAAAGTGTCCACAAAGATACAGTACTGTACCCCAGTGGTAAAACTAAGGCAGAGGGGGCCTTGGTGTGGCAATTGTTTTTGGGCCTTCGTGGATGATCAAATGGTAGATCCTCAACCGCTATAAAACTTGTAGATTTGTCAGCTTTGAATCTACCTTTTGCTCAGAATTGCATGGTTGTATCTGTATGCGTATGTATTTGAATGTAAGTGTGTATTTTAGGTAGCATTTTTGTTTTAATGTAGGGATGTATTTGGTGCAGTGTTGGTATTTGAATGCTGTGGTGTTTTCACATGTGACTCAGATACATATTGCACACACACACAAAAAATAAATAAGACACAAAATGCATATTTTAGCAACCCTCCAGCTTTCGTACCTTAGGCTTCCCTGGGGGCTAGATGGAGCTGAGAGGAGCTGACTGAGGTTGCGGAGAGTTAGCTAGGGCTGTCTCCTCTCTTTTTCACATGTTGGGTAGGAATCAT